GTAGGTATGTAGGTATGTAGATATGTATATGTATATGTATATATGTATATGTATATGTATATGTATGTATGTATGTATGCATGCATGCATGCATGTATGTATACACACACACATATATATATATATATGTGTGTGTGTGTACTGCACACAGGTACACGCGTGTGCGAATGCAGGTATGCTCGCATGCTTACATAAATACGTTAATGCATGCATGCACGCTTGCCGGCATGCATGCATACGTGCATACATTCACACATGCATTCACACATGCATGTATACATACATACATACATACATACATACATACATATTCATTTTTTTTTGTGTGTTTGTGTGTATGTGTACACATACACATGTATACACATATATTATACACTTCTATATACACACGCACAAACATGCGCATACAGCTGGTTCGTCAAAACTCCTTCCTTATGTCGCCAATTCCTCTGTGTCTAGCTTCGCGTTGAGGCGAAGATGTGCAGCCTATGTCCTGGCATTTTGCAGGTTCTCCTGCGACGCCGCCTCCCTCCTTCACGCTGCCGGCTGTGCCGCCGCCATCGCCAGTACCGGCAAGTGCTCCTGCCAGTCCGGAGCAGCCACCTCAGACTCCGGGTTCGTGAGGTTTGACTGTGGTTTGGGTCAAGGCGGACGGCTGTTGTCAACAGGGGTCGTATACCTGCTCCGCGGTTGTAGTTTGTTTCGAGGTTTGCGGTCTTGCGATCGCTTCCGGGAAACGTTTTTGAAGCCCTTTGGGGACTGAGCGGGCAGAAAAGGCATGTATCGACACTCTCAAACATGATCTGTAGCTGGCTTGGTCCTTCTAGAGATATCCGGAAATGGCTCGTTTCTGTTCACTTCGGCGAATGAAGCCCCCTTCAACAACGGAACAAAGATCACTTGTGACACTTGTATCTGCATAACGAGGACGCAGCCTGATTCGGTCAGCTTACGGTGCAATCACTCACTGGAAGACGGCTTGCGGGCTTCTTCAAATACTTGTTGGCAACAACAAGGCATCCCCTCAGTGCTGATACCCTTAAGTCAGTTGTTCAGCCGGGCGTTCAGATAGCCATACTTCCCATCCATGGGACCTTGGAAAAGAACCCACGAGAAGGCATCGCACTTAGAAATGCCTACCTGTCAGCCCTACAAGCCCTAAGCCCCAAATCCTACAAACCCTAAACCCTATAAGCCCTTTGCCGCTTTACATGTTCGAGCTTTCGCTTATGATGTTTGTAGCATGTCTCTTTTACTCCGGTTGCCATGCCTTTAGAGGGGTGTATTGCTGCCAACTAGTTTGGTGACCGAAGTAATGGAGCTTGTGATGCGGTAGAGGTCATGTGTCTGTGTTGCTTGCATTGGGCTCTAATTAGGGCTAGGTATCTTCACGGACCGACCTACATCGCATCTAGTACAGTCGCTGACCCTATTCCTACAGACTCACCTCGCTTGTGGGCATTGATCCTTAGCCATGCGAGAGGGAAAAAACCCTATAAGCCCTAAACCCTAAACCCCTTTGGTTAGAAGCTGGTCCGGGGAAGCTCTTCCAGGCCGGTGCCGGTGCTGCAGCCTCGGCCTCTACAGGTGGGCTTGGGGGGTTCCGGATCGCAGGGGGGTCTTAAAGTCTTACATAAAGGGGCTTAAGGAAAAGTCCTAAAGGGATAAGAGGTTTATGGGCTTAGCCAGGCTTGACGTTTCGAACTTGTGTTGGACTGAGGCTTTCCTGCTGTCGCGGCCACGAGCTACTACCTGGACCCCAAAGTATGTGGAATAATAGCCTTTTATAGGTGTTGAGCCATTATTTTACTTACAGTTGGTGGTTTAGGGTAACCAGGTAACCCTCATGCCTCGGCTCCCTCCGGCTCTGTGTACATCCCTCTCTTCCTGCCTGCAGGTGGCAGGAGGCCTCAATCGAATGGCCTGGGACTCAGGGTGCTGGCAAAGCCCAAAGTCAGAAATCGTGGCCTCATGAGTGCAGCAGCGATTTCTGACTGCTCTCATTGGCGATCCTTTTTCATGAAATCGTGATTTGTCCAGCGCTTCATGTATACATATATACATATGTAGTGCGTTCCACCGTGTTTCAGCACGGGGTCACGTACGTTCAAGGCAGGCAGGTGCGCACATTCACTTTCACTGATGGCCATGGGATGCACTGCTCAGTTTTCGCTGTCAATCTTTTTGTGCTTGAGGTGCCCCGGCTTTTTGTTTATCGGAGTCTCGTTCAACACTCTGTCCGAAAACTTAAGGCCATTGCATTGATGCAGACCTTGCTTAGATCGTCCGAATGATCTGTGAATGGCTGAAGCCAAAACGGCTATCAAAGCCGTTTACAGCCCCACAAACCCACCGAATATTGCCAGCGGAGATCCCCAAACAGTAAAAGAAGACCATACCAGAGGCATGCCATTAGTACAAGAAAGTCGCGACCACCGTGACATGCGAACGTGCTTCAATTGCTTGGGAAGAACATGGGTCGCCACTAGTGGCCTTCTATGATTTCCAGCATATGTGCCATGGTACCGCCCACGCCGAGCACGGTGACCAGGACGACAATAACCAGGACCAGGAGACAGCAGGACCAGAGACCAGCAAGTGGGCACCACGACAGCAGCAGAGCACGAAGAGACCGCCAAGCCACCACCAGGAGGGCACCAGGAGACCACCAAGACGCCACAAGTAAAGCCAGGAGACTACGAAGGGACCACTATGAGAATACCGGGAGACCACCAGGACACCAGCGGGAGCAGCAGGAGCAGGATGGAGCCACACCCGGAATGCCTTCCCAAGTGCTGGCAGATTCAGAAACATTCGATTCCCCAATTAAAGTGCTTTCCCCCAGCTCCTGATGTGTTCCAAGGGCAGCCGACTTTGCCCACGCCCCCTAAGCTTGCGAGATCCAGAGGAACACCTTAAGTCTGAAGTCGCTTCCCCCAGACATTGCTGTGATTCAAGGTTTTCGAGAGCAAAGTGGTCCATGCAGCCTTGTTTGCGCTGCATTCTGGCCCCGGGAAAACAGGCCTCATACGAATCCTCCACAAACAATAGGACGTCAGCGAAACCTATGCACCGCACCACAGCGGCAGACATGCGCCACGAGCATCCGGTGTAAATCATAATTGGACACAGGCCCAATTTGCAGCATGTGCTGTAAAAACAGGACGGAGAGAGCCTCTCTTCCCCCCGTGCGTGGTCGCACCGCACGGGAACAGCAATCAAATCTCTCTACCACCAGCGCAAGAATGCCAAAGTGTTAGTCAGCATGCTACTCAAGGTGGGAACAACATTACACCCCAAACCCTTCAACGCCCTAGAGCAATCTTCACGCCCGAAAACTGTTTAACTCCATGCAACAGCCCGGACGGAGCTTTGAGTCCAGGTTGGGCCACCGGAGACGTTTCCCTTTCGGCACCCTGACGACTCCGCCGGCTCTGCCATGACCACATAAGGGTACTATATAAAAGCTACTGTTATGGGGTATCGGGACATCGGGGATATATTTCGCGGTTGATATGAGGGCTTGGGGCCCGGAGTCGGCTGAGTGTTCATTTCGCCGGCTTCACGGAAACCCAGCGCCAGGACTGCTGTGAAGCCTCCCGTGGTTCAGCCCGGAGTCGCCAAGGACGGAGACAATTGCAGGGTGGGTTGGAGGCACTGTAGGGTTGTTAGAGTTCGTTTCAGAGTTTAAAAACTGACGGCACACACTCAGAGTTTAGAATCTAGAGTCTAGAGGCTTTCCTCACATGCAGAATCGGAACGCCAAACCCTAACAGTGACAGGAAGTTCAGCAGATGCTTGCGGCTACATAGATGCTAAGGCTAAGGACAGGCTCACTCTTACTTTCGTTCGCACGGTTTTCTGGGCCCTGGGTGGAGGGAAAGCTTCTCTTCAACCTGTTCAACCCCGTGCATCCCTCCGCTGCTCGTAGAATACGAAAGCGCCTGCGCCCTGTCCTGCCCATGGATCTGGCTGAGTAATTAGAAGATTCACACGAATGGATTGTACAACTTGAAGGAGGGTTCCAATCACGAGATGGACTTTATTGCTCTTGGCTGTTATAGTTGCGGTTTCTACAAGACAGCGTGTGCGCTTTACCGAGACTAAGGATACCCAGTGGCCAACCAACAAGCCCCACGCAGAGTCAGGGATATGTCTGCTGGACTGAAGCCCATGCATGCATTGCCAGGGGAAAATGCTGGCTCCACTGGATGAGGTGCCTGGGAATGCAATGCTTGATCTTCGAGCAGACCAACCACATCCATGTTGGATTCTGCACGAAGCAGCAGTCCCCAGCGAAGGCAGAGTATGTGCGGCCATGCTGTTCAAGTACCTAATGTGACATGTAGGTTGCACTTTATGGTACCGGCTGTGAACTTTGTCATTCTGCCGAGGTTCTAGGCAACTATCTCCGTGACAGAACGGGAGGCTCACCTGTCGAGCATGAAACTGTCCTGCTGCATTATTTTGCGGGTATATATGTGTGTATGTATATATATATATATACACACAGAGAGGGAGACACACACACACATATATATATATATATACTTTTTTCTCCTATGACACTCTATACCTGATTCTGATGGCGTCCTGCAATAGTGGTCGATACACTCGGATTCGTCAAAGATTGGGGTTGGACCAGCCCTGGCATTGGCAGCATCTGCTATTGCTTCAGTTCAGCAGAGGAACATACGTGCCAAAAGAACCAAAAAACCACCTAGTTTGGCTCAATTCTTAGCCTTCTCGGCTACCAGATTTGGTCGCAGAACTGCAACCAAGAGCCATGCCAAGGGCGTGCACAGCTTCCTTGAGCCTTTGCCACCTGTGTGGTCTTTTCCTGTTACGGTTATCCATGCCCTCGTGCTTGGAAGGGGATGCCGCAACAGAGACCACGGACAGCACCCATAAGTTTTGCACAAGCGGCACCAACAGTTCACAGATGGAGACTCCAATGAACGCTCTCCTGCAGCTGTCCGCTAGGGAACTGCAGAAAGCAGGGAGGTGGACAAGGTGGCCGGGCTGGAGTCGGTGGAATCGGTGGAGAAGGCCAAATGTTCTCTCAGCAAACGCGTTCGACATGCAGGAGATGATTCAAGCTTTTGGGCGCGGGAGACTGTGCAAAATGGTGCAGGATCCGCTCGGGTCTGGGGCGGCGTGCAAAAAGGGTCTCGATTGCAAGGACCCGATGTATGCCATTTGCTGCACAGATGTTTGCGAGCTGCACGTTGCGGCGTCCTG